TATTAGGCTGAATAAATAATTTAGAAATTCGGGTGATTAGATTTCATCTTTTGCTCCAGATGGGGGTGTTGTGTAGTATTTCAATAGTTGAGGAATTTCCAATTCTAAAACTGAATTAACAGTATGTCTTTCGCAATGAAAAAGGTCACATGAATAGAAACGATAGGTCTCTAATTTAGATACATTAAATACCTCAGTTATTGGATCATGAATACCACCCATATCAATTACCAATTTATTATCTATAAATAGCCATGAGTCATCATCTGCAGTTATTTTGATATTTTCTGTTGATGGATTCTTCCAAAATAGGCCATGAATTTCCATACAAACTATAATTAATTAAAATATAAAATCAATATATAATTATATATATATAGTTTGTTACTATTGAAATAATGTTATATAACATTACTTACAATGAAAATTTCTCAAATCTCCTTTTGAATCAGAGTACCATTGTCTTAAACCTATGGAGTCGATTGGATGAAAATCTCTATTTTTGAAAATGAGGGAGTTACCACTTTGGTTAAATAATAAAAATTGATCCTTTATCATTAAGTTTCCATCCGTTTCATGAAACCACTCATTAAAACTTTGATTACCATTAATACCTTTAAAACCACTCTTTAAAATCGTTGTCATATTTAATGTTGGTTTCTTGTCACACAGTAGATTGTCATTTACAAGATTCTTGATTAATCTTCTTTCATAGTTTTTAATTTCAAAGTCTGGATTATTATCAGTTAAATCGAAATAAGTGACAGGAATTGAATCAAACCCATTGGACAAACAAATCTCTAAAATAATAATGCATATTACTGATAAAAAAATGTTAGTATTCTTTTTAAACATTTTAATAATATGAATAAATATAAAACAAAATTTAAATTTAAATTTAAATTTAAATTTAAATTTAAATTTAAGTTTTTTTTTTTTTTTTTTTTTTTTTTTAAAGTTTATTTAAATAAAAAAATAAAATAAAATAATAAAATAACACCTTTAAATTTTAATGAAACGCAAACAAAATCTACTTTCAATATTTGTTTTTTTTTCATATCTAATTTATTAAATACATTCTATGTTCTGGGGGGGTAAAAATAATTTAAAACAATAAAATAAATATTTAAGGAATAAAAAAAATTTGAAAAAATTAAAAAAATACCCAATTGTTAAACTTTATATTTAAAGAAAGAGGGGAAGATGGGGCTAATTTTGGATTTATCGTTTTTTAATTTTTCAAGAGATTGACATCCTGAATAAATAAAAAAAAAAAATATATAATTTAAAAAATTACAAATAAAACAAAAAAAAAAAGGGGAGAGAGGGGGCCGCTTCGTACATTTAAAGAAAAATAAAAACCCAATTAAGGGATGTGGGGGGGAATTAAAGCATAAAAAAAACCATTTGGTTTTTTAGTGGATAAGCAAAAATATTCATTGGGGGGTTTTTTTTTTTGGGGCCTTAAATTTTTTAAAAAAAAAACCCCATTTTTGTATTAAGGGGGGAGAAAAATTTAAACCGGATCTTGAAAATATGATCGAAAATTATATATTTAAGTTTATATATGCGTGTGTATTATTGGTGTGTCGAATAGATAAAAATAAATTTATTAAAATCAAAAAAAAATAAAATTCAAAATAAAATAATTTTCTTTTTTTATTTTTTTTTATTTTTTTTTTTTTCAATTTCAAAAAAATTTATTTTATTCATATTTTTTTTCACTCTTGGTAAAAGATTATTTTAATCACGAATCTAATAACCAAATTAATTAAATTTAATTTAATAACTTGAGATTAATTATAATAATTAATTTAAAATATTTTTATAATAATAAAAATCATATATTAATTGATATGGGAAACTCGTCCAGTAAAAAATCACCACACGTTTTACTTGTAGGTTTAGATAACGCGGGTAAAACAAGTTTACTATACAATCTAACAAATAAAAATATAGATACAGTTCAACCAACAAGCCCACAGAACCCTTTTGAAAAAATTAAAGTTCAAAATCAAAAGTTAATAATATGGGATTTATCTGGTAAAGAAAGTTTTAGAAATAAATGGAGGTAATATATCATTACATAATAATAACAATAATAATAATTAAATATTAATATTTTAAAAAAGACATTACTTTGTTGGTAATGATATAGTGATATTTGTAATTGATTCAACAGATAGAGATAGACTAGAGGAATCTAAAGAAGAATTGGCAAAACTTTTAAACGAACCCTTATTAAGAGATTCACCATTTTTAATACTTTTAACTAAAAACGATTTAGCAAACCAAATGACACAACAAGACATTGAAGATCAAATAAATATTAATACAATTTCACCATCACCCCAAAATGCCAATGAAGCAAATAGAAAAATAAAATTCTTCTCCACTTCCTCATTAAACGGTTCAAATATAAAAGAAAGTTTTGCTTGGATAGTCGAACAACATAAAGAAAGAGTTAAAAGAGAGAAAAAAAAGTAAAAATAATATGGTTTTGTATTTTTAATAAAAATGTAATAATAAAATTTATAATATTTATTCAATTTAAAAAATTAATTTAAAATTATTTCTTTTTTTTTCTTTTTTTTTTTTTTTTTTTTTTTGTAATATTTGTATTGATTTTATTTAATATTTGATAATTTATTTTTATTTTATTTTATTTTTAGGCAATTTTCATAAACTTTGATTTTCTATTAATTCTCTTTTTGATCATAAATACCAAGCCAGTTGCTAAACTACCAATTAATGCATAAACCAATTTTGAATCTTTAATAGAGTCGATGAGTGGTGATGTTGTTGAGTTTGTTGGTTGAACTCCTTCCATTCCATCAACCATATTCATTTTTCTATTCATTCTTTCGTTATATTCTCTAATTTCACGCTCTTCATCATGGTCATGTTCATCTTCCAAGTATTGTTTTTGTTTTTTCTTTGTTTCGATTTCATTTTGTTTTCTTTTGATTTGATCTTCTATTGCTCTTGCTTGCTCTGCTGTTAAACCATCTCTATATTGAAGTTCTAATTGTTTCTTTAAAATTTCTTGTTGATCGATTAATGGATACTCCATTTGATCGGCACTCTTGTAACCATTCTCGAGGAATGAAACGATTTGTTGAACAGTTCTTTCACCTTGGAATTCGTAAAGTATACCTTTATATAATAATTTTAATGTTGGATAAGCAGTGATTTCGAATCTATGTAAGAGCATTGGGTCGTTGATACAATCGACTTGACCAAATTTAATATGTTCTTTAAGCAAGTGGGATAACTCTGAAAATGTTTTATGGAACTCTTGACTGTGTTTACACCAAGGAGCAAAGAATTTTATCATCCAAATTCCACTACTTAAATGTGAATCTATATTATGGGTATCTAAATTAACAACTAAACTATCATCTATTTTTTTTGGTTGCTGAGTTCCTTGATCTTGTTGTGGCTGAACAGATGGCTGTGGTATATTTCCTGCCCCTCCTACTTGGACATCTTGTGAAACACTGATATTAATTAAACAAATAAAAAACAGAGTTAATATAAAAAATAATGATTTTTTCATTTTATAATTTATATTTTTTTATTTTTTTTTTCTGATTAAAAGTAAATATATATATATATTTTTTAAAATAAAAATTAAACAAAAATATTTTTATTATACTATTATAATTTTAGTAAGATATGTGTGTGGATAAAAAAAAAAAATTTTAAAAAATTGAACTAATTATCTATTTTAATTTGTTATTAACAATAAAAAAATAAAACTACAATTAATGAATATTATTAATATTATTGGGTATAAATGTTATAATTAAAACTATATAAAGGAGAAAAAAAGATAAAAAAAAAATAAATAAAAATTATTTAATTTTATTACACAAAAAAAAAAAATAAAAAAAAAAAAAAAATGAAAAAATAAATAAAAAAATATCAGTATATAGTTATAATAAAATAATATTATTGGTATATTATCGTATTATTCATTAATATAATTAATATATTAAATTGATGATAATGTATAGAATAGGAAGTTGTATATTAAAAAAAAAAAAAATTAATAAAAAATATTTAAATAAAAAAAAAGGGTTAATATATAAAAAAGGGATATTATTACTAATTTTTTTTTTAAAAATATTTTTAATGAAGTGGGGGGTTAAGGTATGTATATAAAAGTAAATTATCAATACAAAAAAACAAAAAAAAAAAAAAAAAATCTTTCAAAAAAAAACAAAAATAAATTTATTTACTTTGAGAGATATTGTTATTTTTATACTATTTTTTTTTACTATTAAAGCATTAGTACTAAACATATGCCTTTATTTTAATAATAGTATATTACAACATATTTTTATTAATTTTTTTTTTCAAATTTTAAAAATGATCGTATGTACATATGTATTATTTTAATACATTTAAAATTGAAAAATAAGTGTGTCTTATGATTATTTTTTTATATTACCATTTAAAGAAAAATTGTATAAAATGATACAATGATATAAATTTCATACATTTATATAATAGAAATACAAATTCTAAAATACACCCACACCCACACACTATTAGGTTCATACAATTTTCATACTAATAATAATAAAAAATAGATTTGTAAATTGAAAATAATATTATTACCCCACACCCCAATATATTTTTAAAACAATTTTCAAATTAATTTCGATACACACGAATCCATTCCAATACCCCCACCGAGAATTCAAAAACAATTAATAAAAATACACACCAAAAATACAAATTAAAAAAAAAAAATGATTTACTTTAAAACGACTGATTGTTTAGTGCATATTTAAAAAATCGATAAAATTTTCATTTATTTTAATGTATTTAATTTATATTAAGTATAATTGCTGTACAGAAGAATTTTTTTTTTAATATTGTGAAAAAAAAAAAAAAAGAATAATTATTTGAAATTTATTATAAATTAATTTAATTTTATGATTTGTTTTTGATATTATTTTATGATTTTGGTATTATTTTATGATTTTGATATATTTTATAAAATTTGATTATAAAATTTTAGAATGATTTTTTTTTTAGTTTGGTAAATTAGATAATGGTAAAAAAAAAATATATTTGAAGAGTATTTATATTATTTTCTATTGTTATTATTATTATTATTATTTATATATTTTAATCTCTGATGGCTTCTAAGACTAAAGCAGAAGCACCACCACCACCATTACAGATAGCAGCAACACCATATTTAAGATTCTTTTGTTGAAGTAAATGGGTTAAAGTAACAACAATACGGCAACCAGAGGAACCAATTGGATGACCTAAAGCAACAGCACCACCGTTGACATTTAATTTACTGTGTTCGATATTTAAAAGTTTCATGTTAGCTAAACCAACAACAGAGAAAGCTTCGTTAATTTCGAAAAGATCAACTTGAGAGATATCAATACCAGCATTTTTGAGTGCTTTTGGGATGGCTTTGGCTGGGGCAGTTGGGAACTCGATTGGAGCTTGTTCAGAATCGGCATAACCAATAATTCTTGCTAATGGTTTGACACCTAATTTTTTAGCGTGGCTTTCTGACATTAAAAGAACTGAGGAGGCACCATCATTAATCTTGGAGGCATTAGCAGCAGTAACAGTACCATTTGGAGTGAAAGCTGGTTTAAGGGTTGGAATTTTATCGAATAAAACTTTCTTTGGTTCTTCATCTTCGGTGACAAAAGTAGTTTTACCTCTGGCAGTAATTGGAACTGGAACGATTTCTTGGGTGAAATAACCACTCTTTTGGGCCTCGATGGCACGGTTGTATGAATCAATAGCAAATTTATCTTGTTCTTCACGAGTAATATTATATTTAGCGGCACAATCATCACCACAAACACCCATAGCGCTACCATTGTATGCATCAGCAAGACCATCTCTAACAAGACCATCGATAAAAGTTTGATTACCATATTTAGCACCAAATCTCATTTTATCAGAGTAAAATGGAACTTGTGACATACTTTCGAAACCACCAGCAAGAACAACATTAGAATGTCCTAACATAATAGATTGGGTACCTAATGTAATTGCCTTTAAACCTGATGAACAAACTTTATTAATGGTAGTTGTAACTGTTTTTAATTCTAAACCTGCACCTAAAGCACATTGACGGGCTGGAGCTTGACCAACATTAGCTGAAATAACATTACCCATAATAACTTCATCAACTTCGCCTTTATTAATACCTGCTCTTTTTACACATTCTTCAATTGTTAATGATGATAATTTAGTACCTGGAACAGTTGATAATGATCCACCCATGGTACCAATTGGAGTTCTGCATGCACTAACAATAACGACTGATTCTAAATTTTTAGTAGAATACATTCTAATCTATAATAATAAATATTTGTTAATATAAAATAACTTAAGAATTAATCTTTTTTCTTTTTTTTAAACAACACAAGAATTTTATGAAATTAAAAAAAATTTAAAAAATTTAAAAAAAAATATTTTAAAATTAATTTTTAAAATATATTAAACCTTTTTTAAAAAAAAAAAAATTATACATATAAACTATATGTTTTTTAATTTATTATATAATAAATTTTAAGAATGAAATAATAAAATATCATAATTTCATTTATTTATAAAATTTTCTTTTTTTTTTATTGCCACGGTTTTTTTTCTTTTTTTTCATTAATTAAATTTTATAAATTTTATAAATTTTATATAAAATGTTTTTTTTTTTTTTTTTTTTTTCGTCTACCTACATTTGATTTTAATAAAACTTTTGAAATGTTTGAGAAGTTCATTTTTTTCTTTTATATCTATTATATTATTTCTAATAATAATAATAATAATAATAATACTATAAATATTAAATTGATTTGTGTAATACGAAATTTAAAAAAAATAAAAAATAAAAAATAAAAAATACAAAAAAACAAAAAAAATAAAAAAATTAAAAAAAAAAAAAATAAAAAAAGAAAAAATAAAAGAAATTTTATAAATTTAATTAAAAAAAAAAAAGTATAGCGCGATTTTTATCTACCGCTTCGCACCAAAGAAAAAAATAGAAACAAAAGAAATATAAAAGTTTTATATATATATAAAAAGATTCTAGAATAAAAATTAAAATGAAAGTTAAATTTATATTTAAATTTTAATTTACAATTTATTTAATTTTTTTTTTTTCTTTTTTTTGTTTTTTCTTGGGTGTGGTGAAATAATATAAATGTATTATTTTAAACAATTTATATAAAATAAATGGTTTGTAATTTATAATTATTATTAATTGGAGTTATAAAATATTTTAAAGATTGAGATATATAGATATAAAGAGATTACTTTTTTTTTTTTTTTTTTTTTTTTTTTTTTAAGGGAAATATTATATAATTGAATAATTATTATTAAGTAAATAATTTTTAAACTTGAAATTCTGCATAAACCAAAGCATTACCTTCTCTTGGTTCATTCATTGGCTCTAAATAATTCCATTCATTTTTATCGATACTATAGCATTGAGTTTCGGATAAAACTTCGGAGAAATAACCACCAATAACATAAATGTTTCCACTACCATCATAGATTGCAGAGTTACGAACATCAATTGGTTTCTTCATATCGGCCAAGCTTTCCCATTCCCATGTATCAATGTTCATTCTTTCGAGATTATTTGAAATTTTTCTTCCACCAAAGCTGCCACCCATAACATATATATAATTGTTTCCATCGAAAACAGCACCTGGACCATCACGTTGTTTACGCATTTTACCGAGTTTGATCCATCTATCGTTTTTAATATCGTATTGTTCGATGACATCTAATGCCTTTCCATTGAAACCTCCTATGGCGAAAATGTAACCACGACTGTCATAAATTGCAGATAAATCACTACGAGGAATTTTCATTTTCTTTAGATGAACATACTCTTGTGTAATGATATCGAAACGATCCAATTGGTTAGAGAACCAAGTTTGATCTTTACCACCAACAATATAGATATAACGTTCGCCGTCAAATACAGTAGCATGTCTTGATCTTTCTCTTGGCATGTCTTTACCCATGGTCCATTTGTTTTCAAAGATACAATAACGTTCAACAGACTTTTCAAAGCCACCAGGACATTCGCCACCAAATACATAGATATATTGTTTACCGTCAAACACAGCACTAATACGATTACGATGGTAATTCATTGGACTGGCATAACTCCATTTCTTTTGTTGAATTGAATAGCACTCTACTGATTGTTTCGATTGACCACCAATTGCATAAATAAATCTAACCAAAAATTTAGTATTTAAATTAGATTTTCTAATGATATTTAAATTGTAATTACAAACTATATCTTCAAAATTATTATTTAATTTTCCTAATTGTTCTTTATCATTGTTTTCAACATAATCTAAATTCCACATTATTCCTCTTGGAGAGTTTGCAATTTGAGTGGAGGTTTGTATCATTTGATTAATTAATCTTTTTTTGTTTGTTAAAGAGTTTATTTGATTACCTAAGTTCTTTGGATTGGCATTTGATTTTGATGGTGATGAGGAGGTTGATGAGGATTGTTGACCAAATAATGCAGGTGAGGATGGTGTTGGAGTATGTTGGCCATTAGGTGAACCCATTATTGATTTTAGTGATGAAGATGAATGAGAAGGTGATGATAATAAAATATTATTTGCACTGCCACTGCTTGAACCTAAGCTTAATTCTAAAATATCCATTTGTTCATTTATTTGATCAGGATTATTACTATTATTATTGCCATTAATGTTACTATTATTATTATTATTTTCAAAACGAATGTAGTCATCCACTTCGCTAATCATTTGACCAATTATTTTTTTTCTTTTTTCAATTGAATTCTTATATTCATTGAAGTCATTATCGATTTGATTTAAAATTTGTTGAGTGATTGTTGTGATTTTATTTTTAATTCTATTTTTTTGTTGATTAATATCTGTTGGAGAGGCTAAGATATGTTCACCAATTTCTTTTTGGATGTGTAGTTTGTTACGAATGTTACCAAGAATTGATTTGAAGGCTCTGCTTTCTTTATTCATATCATTAAAGATTTCAATTAATGGTTGAACCATATGACCATAGTGTTGATCATTTAAACAGTTGTTACAAATACCAATTGAACAGTCGAAGCAATAGAACTGTGATTCAGAGTTTAAATGAATTAGACATTCGTTGTTTCTAATTAAAATTAAATTATTATTTAAAATTTGTTGCTGTTCGAATGATAAGTTATTGTTGATAATTATATTATTATTTATATTATCATTGTTTGATAGGTTAGAAATTATATTATTATTATATAGATTTTGTTGATGTGATTGCATATGTTGAGTTGATGAGGATTGATCATTTGATAAGTTAAAATGGTTGGGTGCCAAACGTGGGCTTGATTGCAAAAGATTAGATTGAGTTTGCTGTTGTTGTTTTGAAACATAATTTGGTGGAGCTTGGTTGTTTGGTACTGGACTATAATTATATCCACCAAAAATATTTGGAGAGTGTGATTGGAAAGGTTGATCATGTCCATTTCCTTGAAATGATGGTGAATGTGGTACACTGTTGCTACTATTTAATTGAGGTGATTTCATTTGATTGCCATTTTGATAGTGTTGAAGTGGACTAGCACTAATGTTGTTGTGACTACTATTATTGAATTGTTTATTTACAGTGCTTGCACCAGAGATACTTGTGCCGACATTACCACCATTGGAGCCATTGATATTGATACTCTCTGATTGCATTAGTGACAATGGATTTAAAGGTAATGGTGGAGCCAGTAGGGGCATTGGTGGGACAACTCTTGGTGATAATTGTTGGCCCATTAAAAATGGTGATGGAATTGGTGATCCGATCGGAGAAGAAATTCCCATTAAACTGGGTGATGAGTGATGGGGAAGAAGTGGGTGAACGCCTGATAATGAACGTGGTGACTGTGGTAAACCATTTGCACCTAAACTGCCGCTAAGTGAATTATTTATTCCGCCTTGTGATGTAATTACTTTTAATCCACTTAATGAAGGACTGCCAACGGTTAGCGATTGAGTATTATTTTGATTTTGATTTGGTGATACCGCATTTGATTGTGTATTTTGTTGTTGTTGTTGGGATGATGATAAAGGTGACGCATTTGAGGATGATTGATTTGATGATGGGTTATAGTGGTTTCTAGGTGATTGAGAATGCCCATTCATAGATTGATTTGGGTGAATAATGCCATTTTTTATATCGTTAATACATCTTATTAATTGATCATTCGTCCAGACTTCGTTTGAATTTGCTTTGTCGCCACAAACCCTACAATGATATTGTCTTGATGGTTTTGAATATGCCAATTCTAAACAGTCACAACAAAATGAATGGCTGCATCTTAATGTTTTTGGATTATTTAAAATTTTTTTGCAAATAAAACATTGTACCATAAGTGGGAGGCATCCTTGGCTATCTAAAAACATCATTTTTCTTTTAAAAAACTATTATTTTTAAAATATTTTAATAAAATAAATAATAATTATATGTGATATTTATTTTATTTAAGATGATTATTGATTTCTAAAATTATATTTCTTTTTTTTTTTTTTTTTTATTTTTTGTTTAAAATATATTTATATTACAAAAAAAAAAAAAATTACAACAAATTTGAATTGATTAATATTACAACAATAAAAAATAAGAAAAAAAAAAATATAAAAAAGAAAAATAATAATTTGATTTGTGTATATGATTGTTTTTTATAAAAAAAGGAGAGAGGGTGAAAAATTTTAAAAAAGAAACTCTTTATTAGAGATTAATTTTTTTTAAAAAATTTTTTTAATTTAAAATTTCTTTAATAACAATTATTATAAAAAAATCAATAGATAAAATTTTTTTTTTTTTTTGGGCTTTGTTTCAGATTTTTTTTTTTTTCTTTTTTTTTTGATGATAAAATTACTTGAATAAAACTATAAACACACAAAGAAAAAATTATAAAAAATTTTAGATTTGATTTGATTTGATTTGATTTGGTTTGGTTTTGTGTGTGAATATTCACTCTATATACAATACACACAAATTATTTTAATATATAAAAAAAAAAAGATATATGATTTATAAATATAAAAATTGGTTTGTTTATTTTTTATAATTTATATATTTATATAAAAAATTGAAGATTGATATTAACAATAAAAATAATTTTATTTATTTTGTTATTATTATTTTTAAATATTTTTTATTTTTAAAAATAAAAAATTAAAACTGCACAATGATTATTATGATAAAAAATAATTATGATAAATAAATAAATAAATTAAATAAATAATAAAAAAACAATTTAAACAAAACAGGTGTACTGTTATGAAATTGACACAAACATAGATATTATTTAAAAAATAAAATAAAATAAAAAATAAAAAAATTAAAAAAAGATATAAAAAGTGTGTGAATTTAGTGAGTGGTGGTTTTTTTTTTAAAAAAAATTTTGATTTTTTGGAGGAGTCTTATTATTTATATAATGAAATATGATTTGATTGTTGTTGATTTTTATAATAATTATTTGTAAAAAGTAAAAATTTGGTTTTCCCTTTACTTATATATATATGATTATTATCTAAATTATTGAAAATAAATTGTATTAATATTTCAATTTGAAATCTATTGGAAGGAAAAAAAAAAACTTACCAGTTCTTCTATGGGGTTAATTTCGAAATGGAAGTTGGAGAATGAATTTAGGGAATATTTTTGGATATTAAATAAATATATAATATATAATATATAATTAAAAAAAAAAAAAACAAACAAATAAAAAAAATTCTTTTTTTTTATAGATTTAATTATTTATAAATTTCTTTTTTTTTTTTATTAAAATTAATATAATAAGAAAAAGTATAGAAATTAAAACAAAACAAAATGAAACAAAAAAAAAATTTTTTAAAGAAAAAAAATATAGATAAAAGAAAATAAAAATAAAAAAATTAAAAAATTTATTTAAAATAAAAATTAAAAAATTTGGGTGTGATTATTGATGATGTTGAGAATGATACCAATA